GAGGTAGTGACACTCTGGTATAGATGTTCAGAAGTGCTGCTGGGGGCTGCTCATTACTCTACTCCAGTTGACATTTGGAGGATAGGCACCATTTCTGCAGAATTGGCAACTAAGAAACCACTTTTCCATTGGGATTCAGAAATTGATCAGCTCTTCAGGATTCTCAGAGCTGTGGACACTCCCAACAATAAAGTTTGGCCAGAAGTGGAGCCTTTACAGGACTATAAGAATACATTTCCCAAGTGGAAACACGGAAGCCTGGCAGCCCATGTCAAAGATTTGGATGAAAATGGCTTGGATTTACTCTCAAAAATGTTAGGCTATGATCTTGCTAAATGGATTTCTGTCAAAATGGCACTGAATCATCTATATTTTGATGATTTGGATAGTCAAATTAAGAGGATGTAGGCTTCTGATAAAGAGTTTCCACACGTTATAATCTAGGATGAATAGTTGTATTTTTACTGTTGATTCTGTCTGTTTTTGTCTTTTATATTTTTCTTTGCTGTGAAACTGAAACTGTACTTCACTTTCCATTTCAAAAGTATAACTTAAACATGTAAATATTGTTCTATATAAATTTAAATATAATTCTATGTATGGGTGTAGACCTCACTGTGACAGTTATTTGTTACTATAATAAAACTATAAATGTAAAAAAAAAATATGGTGCTATAGATTGAAACCCAGGGACTGTGCCTGCTGAGCAGGTACTCTACCTCTGAACTACATCCCTGGTTCCTTTTAAAAATCTTAATCCAATATCAATGTTTAAATATTAGAAGACTATATAAAAAACAATTTCTAGGAGATGTTGAAAGTTCAGAGGTTTGGTCACAGTCATTCAAGGTAAGCACTGAGAGGTGACTGCCCCAAAGGTGGGTACAGGCCCTCTATTGCACAACAGCTTCAACCTGCAACTACTACAACTTCTGTTACCTGCCTGGCTCCAGTCCACCTTTAGGTTTCCCATTCTGAATTACTAGTTTTCTGTTTTGTAGTTAAGCATGACTTCAATGGTTATTTGAATGCCAGGTCTCAGTTACAGCTGGCATATTATGTTCTTTCATAAAACATTGTTTTCTTTTTGGATACATCAACAAAAAGTAATCTAGAGATTTGCTTTGGTCAAGATCCCCAGTGAATGAGGATAAAATTACCTTGTAAATTTTTGGATTGTGTAGATCAGGTGAAAAGCTTTTTGCTAAAGAAACAAATAGTTAATACGTTAGGCTCTGTTGGCCATGTGGTCTCTTATTCAACTTTGCCATTACAGTGTGAAAGCAGCAACAGACAATGTGAAACAAGTGGGTGTGATGCTGTTCCAATAAAACTTTTTTACAAAAGTAGACAATAAGCAGGATTGTCTTATGGTCCATTTTGGTGATTCTTGATTTAGCTTCCATATTTGATACCTTCTTTATCAAAGAACATTTTTCTTTTTATTCCTTTTTTTCTTAAATGGTGTACAACACTTTTTTTTTTAAAGTAATTTTTTTGTTGTTTTTGTGGTACCCGGGATCAAA